AAATACATACATATGTATTAGTTGCTGGGGTTGCCTATCTCTAACTGCTCTATTTAATTAAGAACTACCATGATAACGAGCAACAAGACAGCGCAGCATAAACATAGGTAGCTATATTTGTAGCTCCTACATATACTCACTCACATATTTACAAATCAACGACGCATCGTACTTAGCTTCATGCTCTTAAGCGCAGCTCACTGTGTGTGCTCTCTTGAAARCCAATTTTCTCTTATATGCGCTCACGTGCTGTAAGCGTCATATAGCTCTCCCACAACAGTCGCACACAAACATACACACACAGGTGCAAATTGTTTCTGCCGTCGCTGTCAACTGTGCAACGTTGCGCATTTCGATTTGGCATATACATATGTATATGTATATACGTATATCAATGTATTTTTAAAACAAAACCTTTAATTTTTAAATGTTACTTTGTTAATTAACAAAGTCGAGCCGCAAGTTGCGGTTTAATGTGAGGCAATTAATCTGGGCTACAGACGAAAACTTTAATTGACATCGCCCACGTTTAGTCGTCTGGGTCATATTTAAAATTTGCAACAACAAAAAATACAAAATTTAATAAATAAAAGCTTGCTTATATTTTCTCAAAATACGCAAATACACCACAATACATACATATCAAAACTATCTATCTCTATCTATTTGCACAATTATGTGAGCGTGTTTTTCTCTGTATTGCGATAAAAACAAATTCTAAATTTAAAAATATTTTCACGGTCGAACGTTCTCAAAAATGCTTCGACTATTTTGCAATTTAGCTCCTTTTTGCTTATTATTGTTGTTGTAATTGTTGTCGCTTTGTCTCTCTTTCTATTAGTTTGTTTTAGCCTTGGTAGATGGTTTTTTTTTTTTAGGAATTTTTCAAATTCACTCTATTGCTGTTGCTTTATTGTCATTTTGCCATTCCGCCACAAAAATTACGTAAAACTATTGCATTAAATAACTTAAGACACCCGACCRGACATTAGGGTATCTCATTAATACATTCTTTTTGGTGAATTGACGTAGTGCGAAAGAAATACGCATAAATTTACATAGCGATTGGCTCATAAATTTTTGCTGCCAGACAAACCAGAGACTTTGTTTTTAAATGTAGTTTTTAAAAATTTGCTTGAGTTTTGCTCAAAATAGAAAGAAAACCACGCGACACATTAAATTCGATAAGGGTACGACCGGAACTTGTAGCACGAAACAATATAAGTATGTACAATGGATTTGCAACAATATTTAATATTCACAATTATATATTTATAATTTTTTTATATAAACTTAATTTTCATTTAATTCAATACGACAATTTTTGAATATTTTTTATATACATATATTTGTTATATATATATTGTTAACGAACGTGTAATTTTGCATAGTTTCGCTATTTCTTGTTCGCTTGACAGACAAGCTGATAATTTTTTACCTTTTAACAAACTACTAAATGTGATATCCACTATTGTGGCACTGAAGCACGAGATTCGAATGAGCAACGTTTATATAGCGCACACAATTCACAGAAACTCGTTCGAGCTACATATTATGTGCTCTTTGCGGTTGTTGGTGAGCAACGGAAAGAGAGTGAGAGCGTCACTGCTCTCCCACTGTGCATATATGTAAGATATACATATGCAAATGCTTATATATGTGTGCATACCGTTGCTTGGGCTAGTGAGCAAGGAAACTGACGAGATTTGTAAGAGCGAAAAGAGTGCGAAGGTCGAAAAGGCATGAATGAATTGAGGCGCCAACACATTCATTTGTTTGTGGTTCTGTGTGTGTGAGTGACGACGCTAATATTAGATGACAAGTGGAGAGCAGAGTCAAAGGTCTCTGGAGTTTTTTTGTTGCTAGCGATTTGCGCGCCGGCGCGACTGAGACGCCGCTAATGTCACGCTTACGAYGCTGCGCTGCTTTATGACGCACTATGGGCATTTCTTGGAGGACGTGCCGCGACACAGTGGCACCATCACTTTTTTATTGATTTGTTTTGGCTACAGCAGCTGATGATGCTGCCGCTGCCTCTACCGCTGTCCCTGCCGCTGCTCTGCCGTGGAGTCGTGTTAATAGCCAATTGCTTTGCTCGCATGCGTTTGGTTTGCGCCAATTGATTTTTATTTACACATATTTTCAATTGAATATTATTAAATTGACTTTGAGGGCGCGTGCAAATTTCGCAGCCTTGGAGCACATTTGGCGTGCCAACTCTTCAGTCCAAGCAGCATCCCAAAAAATACACCCAAACCCAAACCCGAACCCAGCCCAACCCAATCCAATCGAGCCCAGTCMGATTCCAAGTCCAAATGTGAGTCCAAGACAATCAATTTTGTTTATGAAAGCTTAATAATTGATTATTGTTATTGTGGCATCGTTTGCTATTAGTTTGTTTTCCGCTTATATGACTGCAAAACGCGCCCCCAATTGTCGGGGGCTCGTCTTTCTATGTATTTCATAACATTGCTTACACATTGCCTATCAATGAGTGAGCTCACACAATTCTCTACGGCTGTTTC